CCACCCCGACGTTAAAAATAGGAGAATTGCCAGTCTTAGAATCTGCAGGCAAAAGAATTTTGCAACCAAAACAAGAATATGGCTCAAACATCTAATTACCAGAGCAAAGCGCAGCAAAAAGGCTGAAAAATTTTCTAGTACAACCAAATGATTTGTAAAGAATCAAGTCTCTAAAATTCCCAGCAAAGTTATGCATTTCTTGATGAACAAGAGCCATCTATTGCGTCCAAAAAGCAAAGATTTTTCACACAAAAGATAAAAGAATATTCCAAAAGTAAGAAACAACCAACTGTCCAAAGAACAAATGCATTACCAAACCGTAACATAACCTCTAAATCAGTAATAAAATACAGAAAGCTTTTCATACCAAGAAGTGAATCAAACTCATCGGATTTCTGGAGAAGAAGAAGATCGTTCCGTTCCTTCTCTCGCCTCCGCATTTCATTGAACAGTGCGAGCTCCTCATCCTTCTCCATCATCATCGACCTCCTTAGACTCCCCATTGTCACGTATACAAACCCTAAACCCTCCAATCCATTACCAAACCTCCAAATACCCGCTCAAAACCTCAGTTTCACTCCCGAAAACCTCAGAACACAGAGCATACGTTGTCGTTCCTCTTCGCGAATTCAAAATCAACAACCGCAGATCGAAAATCCAGCTCCCGATGCTCCGAGACTCAGCTCAAATCATCCCCCGCATTTCAAATTCGTACACTACGCGACAATTTAAGAAACTAAAAAAAACCTAATATAAAATTTTGATAGATTACAACATAGAAATTCGTGAACTATATGTCCAGGTAGTAAGAGAGATAAATACGCTATATATATACATTATATATATAATATAGAGAGAGAGAGAGGGAGGAAGCTTCAAAGACTCGGCATTGCTGAGAACGGAGCTGAGATTTGAAGATGAGAGAGAGAGAGAGATAAAGTGTCAATTACGTTATTTAATGGAAAATGAGGGGCAGGTGTGAAGTGGGGATTGGGGGGTTTTAGAGAAATTTACCAAATTTGAAGGGGTTGTTGGGATATAGGAAAAGGGATTTTTAAGGGATTTTAAGGTAGGCGAGAAAACAACTTTGGTCTGTGGGGTTCAATGTTAAATGCAACTAACAGTTATGTGCTGTTTTTTTCCTCCCTTTAAGGTCACGTTATCTGGATTGTTATCGTCCCCAGGATTCCAGATAATTACGAAATCGACCCCACATCTTTCCTTTTCATTTTCACGATAGCATTAATTCATTTCACTTTTGGTTATGTAAATATTGTTTCATATTAAATTCACACCTTTTAATTTTAACATATGTAATCTAACTACTTTTAAAATTATTTCACAAGATAAAGGTTAAATCACATTGACTAAATTTGAAATTATAATAATTGATAAAATGTTTAATTAATTTGATATTATCCGATAAACTACTTACAAAGTAGATATTACTTAAAGCTATGGATCTAACAAGAAAGAAGGACGGGTGTCCCATTGTAGGGACTCCATCTCTCTTAAAAGATCAGGGAAACTTCATTGATGATTTCCCTCAAGCACTCCTATACATGTAACATCTTAATAAGAATAGTAGTCTTTTGGCGCAACTTAATCAAAATTTAAAAAAGTTCATAGCTTTCCCTTTTTGAGTTTTGACATAAAAAATCTCTCGAGTTCCTTCTATTTGTTTAAGTGTGTTGGATGTGTTTAACCCTTAACTTTTGGATTCAAACATGTATTATTTGTTTCCTTTTCTTAAGTTTTCTATTTCTTCTTTAAAAAAACATTTTTTTTTTGAATGGCGAGAGGGGATATCTCAAAATTAGTTATCTATGATGACGACTCGAGGTACAGGAACACCCATCAAATCATCGTTAAGAAGCGCGAGAACGTCATTCTCCGGTTGAATTAGTAAGTGCATGTCCCTGTTAAATTTTAGTGCTTTCTTCGACATTAAGTCAATCACTTTGTAAAACACCCCTAACTTTTACAATATAAATTAACTTTTACAATATAAATTAGGCATTATGAAGTTAGGTATTAAATAGTGTTTACTTCAAATTTAAAAATCAAATGTTGAAAAAATATTTATATTTTAAATATTAGACAAAATTAAATATATTGATCATTGGGAAGTGAAATTAGACTATTTTTTTTTTGATAAATGGAGTATTATTTTGCTCCAAGATTATGTTTTTGACTTATTTGTACTCTAAATAAATTACTCCTTAATGATGCCAATGTCGAAGTAGTTCTTGATTTCATAGTATGATTTTTTTTTTTTCTAATAATTGTAATTGTCAATTGACTTGGATTGTATTGGAGATGACTAATGAAGTAGGATTACTAATGATCATTAATTATAAACAAGTCATATGGTTGTTCTAACTAAATAATCGTTGAACAAATCATGATGTTTGGGTTTTACAAAGATGAATTCAAATCATTAGTTGTTTTTAGAATATGTTAGGAGGAATTACCACGGTCCCACGTCCAGTTTGACTAAGTTATCAATAAAGTAATGTTTAAGGTAAAATGAGATAAACAACAGAGCTAATAGCTCTACCATATATCATTCAAATATGTTCAACGACTAGGATGATGTCAGAGTTAGTTACGCCAAATAAGGTTTGTGTGATGACACATTAGAGCATTCCCACCAATGGATTTTGGTGAGGGTTTTGAGAAAATAAAGATGAGGTGGAGGAGAGAGGGTGATGAGAAGGAAAAAAAAAAAAACCTCCTGCAAAGACTTAGTTTTTTGCAGAGGAGTGGGTCCCGCGTGGAGGAAGGAAGGCGCGCCCCTGGGCGCATCCAGTGCACCCAGCAGGCGCGTGATGGCTTCTGTTTGTTTTTTTTTTTTTTTTTTTTTTGGGTCAAACTTGTTTTTTTTTTTCTTTTTTTTTTCTCCCTTCTCATCTTCTGTTTCCTACTCACCTGCAAAAACTTCTCAAAAAGCGCAACTATTGAGGATGCTCTTAGAATGGATCGTGGATTGTGGGAGTCATGAATACGGAGGACACATGTAATTACCTAATTTATAACCATTTTTACATTGCAATCTTAAAAAATAGCTAGTATAAAAATCATATTGATCATCAAACAAGGGAGTGACAACTTCAATACATTTTGTTCTTAGCTTCAAGGGCTCAAAGCTACTCAAAGCCTTCTCAATATCATTGTTCATTACTTTTCTTCCATTACAAGCTTGAATCAAGCATATGGTTTGATGTTATGGCCATGGTACTCGTGTTTACACTAACATAATACTATGTTAGTTTTGTTTGTAGTTTCTTCTCCAATACGGTTATTATAACGAGAAATTGAGTAATTGTGATATTTTTGGTAGGATAAATATATGATGCATTTTTTTTTTTTGTGTGTAATAATTATTTTACACGTAATTATATATTCAAATGCAACAAATATGTATATCAACTCCTTAATAACCTAATAAGAAAATTGTGCTTTTGGTTTTTCAGATGTTCTGTAGTTATAAATCTAGTCCCACTATTATCTTGTATTACAAACTTTTAATTAAAATAAAACACATTTTTCAATTTAGTATGAAACTGGTAAAAAAGTTTGGGTTCGTCTATTTTTACTATTGACTTAAACTTTTAATTGAGATGTTGTACATCTTTTAATTGTATTATACAGACAAGTCTCACTTGATAACAAAAGAAAAAATAAAAGATAGAGCACTATTATCAAGGATTTTTGCATATGTGGGGGAAGAGGTGATAGGAGAGAAAATAAAATTACTTATTTTTTTTTGAAAATGAGAAAAAAAAATTACTAAATCACTGCGCAACAGAGTTTTCGAAAAAAAAAAAAAAAGAAGCCTACGTGGGCCAACTCATGCACCTACTAGGCGTAGGGTTACAACCCCCCCCCAACCCCCCACCCCCCACCCCCTCCAAATTGCTCTTAGAAATGTCAAGTGTGCACAATTCGGTAAAAAAAAAAAAAATCAATTAAAAAATTGAACCAACAAATTTCAAACCATTTTTTAATTAAAATATTTTGATTGGATTAATGGTTAATTTTTTTTTAGAATTTCAACTAATGATTAATTCAGTTCAAAAGTATCGGTTAGTAATTCATAAATCTTATTATTAGACTAGTTTTTCAAATTTATCATTTATTTATTGATATAATGGCTATTTTGTGGTGTGAAAGTATGAATTACAAATTTTATTCATAAAATTTTAAGGTTTAAAAAAAAAATTGAACTAAAATATTTTGACTAATCAGTAATCGACTAATTAACCCCCAAAAAAAATCGATTAAGTGAATTTGAAAATAGAAATTTCAATTCATTTAACAGTTAAAGTACTTTACAAATTCGATTAAGTTATTAACCAAATGAACACCCCTACTTGCACTAGGCTAATAGGTTCATATAATGTATCATAAGACTTTCTCTTTTAGATCTTGCAGCACAAGGTTAAAGTTGTGAATTTTAATGAAAGTAACAAGAGAACTGTGTCTGTTGTCAAAGGTTTTTCACTAATGATATGTTCTGATCTGATGCCCAGTTACCAAAAACTTCAGTCAAAAAAGTTGCAACAACTAAAAGAAAGTTACTAGTTTAAGGATGAGAATATTTGTCTTCTATCAGCATCCAAGATTGCCACCACTTTAAAGCCATTCAATGTGGATGTGGGATCAAGAAAAGTTATCAAGAATGTGGTGTGAAGGAAACAAACAACCAATTACATTAAAATAAGTGTTCTGTCTCAACTAAAAATTTAGTCATAGTGAAAATATATATATACATATACAAACATATCGCATTCGGCATTCTCATATAGTTTAGTAAAATTAAGATGGTTAGAGCAATGACAGTCAAATTGTAGTGCAGGCTAGAATAGTTAGAGGTATGAAAAAAAAATCGAACTTCTTTCACTTAAACCACAAGCAGTTGATAAGAAACTGACATCATTATTGGATTACTAGGTTTCACATTTTCAATGATGAGTTAGGTGTCTGGCTAAGCATACTGAATTAGGCAACTTCAACAACTTATAAACAAAGTTCACAATATGGATAAGGTATAAATGATTCTAAGATTCATACATGATACTTAGCAAGCTATAGAAGGTGTCAAATGACTAAATTTATCAGTTTCAGAATCCAAAAGTTCAACAAGAACAATGGGGGAGATTGGAGAATGTACATGTGGTTATGAAATTGGATCCGAAATGGTGATTAAACATCATCTGCATCGCTTCCTGCGACGCGCGCTTCATGGTTGATCCAGTAGTTGTTTCCATCCGGACCGGAAATCTTAAACCTGTTCATTAAAGTTAATAAAGAAATCTAATTAATGAATTTACATGTGTTTGGTTTCCTTGTTTCTTTATTTTCATGTGGTTGGCTAGGTTGGAGTGGGGTGTGCTTTAGTGGAACCATCATAGGCCTCTACAAGGTTCGGTGGTTTAGCCTAGGGGTGTACAAGCTACTAGTCAGCTACTTGGACTCAATTTGATTATGTTCAAATTCTATTCGGTTACTGTTGAGTCGAGCTCAAACTCGATTAGTTCGAGTAATGATTCGAGTTGAATTCGAGCATCCTACTACAGTACTACTTGACTCAATTTTTAAATTTTTTATATAATTTATAATTTTATATATAATATAAATATAATATTACAAATTTATATTTATATCTATATATTATACAAAGGCTATAATCTTAATGTAATATTTAGTTATATTATGATATTTGGTTGTAAAATACTCATTATTATAATTTTTTTTTTTAAAAAAAAAAAAAAAAAAAAAAAAACTCTATCCTATTCAAGTAGAGCTCGAATAGCTCAGAAAATTAGAGCTTAGTCAAACTCAAGCTTCAATTTTTTAAATCAGGCCGAGCTTCAAGCTTTTGACTATTCAGGCTCGGCTAAACTCAATACCACCCCCACTTTAGCCTAGATTTGCATCCTATCTTTCCTGCCCCAATCCGGCGTACCAAAAGATATATATATATATATATATATATATATATATATATATATATCAACTAACCTCTCAAGGACTGATCTCCCTTCTTTGTACTTCTGATCCTTCTCATAAGCAGTTTCCTGAAATTATTGATCAGATGAGTAATTCGCATTATAGACATAAGAGAGCAATTTGGGACTAAGAGAGAGAGAGAGAGAGAGAGAGAGAGATTTTTCCGGGTCTGAACTCACATATTTCCAGCCAACGATTGACCCACAACGGACACAGAAAATGTCTGCAACAGTGTGCAAGCCAGTCGTCATCATTCTATCTTCGTTCTTCCCAGATGTAACATTCACTCTGCCAATTCAAATTTCAGATCAAAAGAATATATAGCCAAAAAGCATGCTGTCTTTCAAAATCTCCCTGACCCCAAAGATACAGATTGTAATCAAACCGATGGCTAGAAGTGTGACATATCAGTTAACCAAAGTAATGCAACTCTCAAATCACGACCAATTTGAAAAGATATTCTGGAATCTGGAGTCCAGAACAATGGTCAATTTGCATTTCATTCATGGTTCTCAATTAGTTGTGCAGTTAAAGTTCCTTTAAGTCATGTGCCAGTGCACCGAGCAAATGAAATCAAGGAAATGATGTTCTAAATCTCACTGCTTTCAACTATACCGGTTGGAGAGTACGAAGACAGTAAGTTATCTAAATGATTTTGCTTCCGGGATCTCAATTACATGCCATGCCATTTTAAAATTAAAGCTAATGTTACATTAAAGCATTCACTGCGACTAGCAGATTGAGTGTGCAGAATCAAGGAGACTTACACCTTATTGAAGAGGTAAGCCTTCCCATGTCTGCACTGAAAAGCCTGAAGGAAAGAACAGAAACAGAAAATGAAATCCAACGGAGACCCCTAAATGCAGTGCTTACACACTAAAAATAGAATTATAGAAAATATGCAACTAGCCAAAATAAACACTTGAAAATATCTATGAAGTCAGGGGCTTTTGTACCCATGTCTAAGATTAAACTAAAACGTTGAAGGATATGAATGGATGTTACGATAGGCAAGTGGAGAGAAACTCTAGCATATTAAGTTTAACAAAACAGGAATCCAAAAAGAAGTACATCATTCCCGTTTACTAATCCGAAAATGAGGTTATAAGTACACAAGTGCCCATCAAATTCAAGAAATGGGGAAAATCTTGTTCGATGTTATCCTATCACATAAACAGGCACGCATATTCCCCTTTTACCCAACCTGTTTTGGCACAATGCTAAACCTCTCAGATATATTCTTATCCTAGACTAGATAATCGAGTAATTGATCAAACAGTTCTGGCAAGCATAACACAGATTTACTCTCCTGAAATTGATTGATCAAAATTAGTGTATACATAAAGTAGCTAAGCAAAAACGAATCATAGTCCAAGCTAATCCAAACTCAACCAGTACACTTAAAATGAATCCTAAACTCTATTTTCTCCCACCAACTAAGCAACTTATAAACAAAATTTAAAAATGATAGTCCAAGCTAATCCAAACTCAATCAGTACACACAAAACAACTTAAAATGAATCATAAACTCTATTTTCTCCCACCACTAAAGCAACTGAAAAACAAAATTTAAAAAAATGAAAAATCAACCACCGATCAAGCATGAATGACACTAAATTGTTCCGATTTAAAACCTCAGACAGCAAATTGAACAGGAATCGTGAGAAAACAAGTTGTGAAAGATTGAAATCTCTGATGGAGGATTAAGGAGGAGATAAATCTAACCTTGGAGAGTATATCCTCAGAAACAGCAAGATGAGTTCCACAGTGCTTGCAGCTATAGACTTTGCCCTCGAGATTCACCACAAACAGCCTCCCCATCTCCTTCTGTCTCTCTTGAACAGCAAAAAGGGCCGGAGAAATGCGAAATTGGAGAAAAATCAGTGAAGAAAAAGAAGACTTACGAATCACACATGTAGGCTTTTGGTGAGTTTGATTGATCGTCAGTGCATTGAAGGCGCAGAAGCGGACGAGAGAAAAGTCCAAATCGGAAAAGAAGAAGAAGAAAAGTGGCAATGAAATTGGGATGAAGATTGAAGAGGGAGCAGTAGAGTTACCTTTCAAGTACCGCAACCGTTCGCCTCAGAACCAAAGACTACTCTCTTAACGCACAAATGCCACAATACAATACACCCATTTTTCTTGTGAGGTGGACCCCACTATTCCGTCAACTTACACCAAAAAATACTCCGTAAAAATTAAAGAGTACAAAAAAAAAAAAAGTACAATTAAACCTTCAAACTTGTCATAATGAATCAAATAAGTTCTGATTATCGATAAGGATAACAAATAGATTATCAGTAAAATTATAATTTATAACCGCTCACTTGCTGCTAAATCCTCCCAATTTAAAAACAAATTGACCGTCGGTCACCTTATTCTTCAATAGCGCCGAGGGCTGGAATTTTTGACAAAATCCTAATGACCAGTTATTCAAAGTAAATAACCGAGAGTTGTTATACCATGAATCTGGGCTCACCTTGTAAGGTGGTACAAAACGACGTATAAATTATGTATTTCTAGTATTGTAATTGTGAACTTCTAGAATATAAATCGTGTTTTTAAGTCAAAACACATAACAACTGTATAAGGGAATTTGTTAATACAATATATAGTCATCGAATTCTAATCTGTTAATATTGTGTGACTGCTGTATGTGAAAGGAACTTGTGAATACAAAACAAGTTAATCAATTACATATATATTACCATTCTGTGTTCGAAGTATACAAATTATGAATTTTTAAAAGGTAAATTGTGAACATTTGGACCCGGATCTACCTTGCAACGTGGCACCAAATCCACATAAAAATTTGCAAATAGCCCGCTATTGGGTTTATATACACCAAAATGACAAGTTCGAGTTTTAATTATACATTTTAAAGTTTATAGACTTAATTGCTCTTTTGTGTAAAGTTCAATGACCTATTTGACTATTTTTTTCAAACTTTATTACATGTTTGTTTCACAAGGAAATATTTTGTTGAAAGAAATTAATGTTTTTATCTTGTTTAGTTGGTGAAAAGAATTATTTAAATGAAAAATATAAAATCCTTAAATTGTAGAAAAATAAATTCTTTACTCTCTTTTGATATTTTATTTTCCACAATCTTTTGGGGCAAGGTTATAATATGAATTCCTATATTACCCTGGTGTTTGAATTTTTATACTTACTAGTAATTCACCCGCGCGATGCACGGAAAAAAAATTATGCTATTATAAATATAAATAAAAAATAGAAAAACTAAAATATTTTAAATTATTTAATATAATATATTTTTGAGCTTCCATTGGTCAAGTATTTATTATTTTTATAAAATATTTTAACTTAAAAGTCAATTAGACCCCTAAACATTTTAAAGGTGCAATTACACCTATCAACAATTCATTTAGGTGCAATGAAGCCCAAAAATAAATTAATGACCTTCTATCATAGGTCATTAGGGTTCAGGCCACCTTTCGGCAAAAAAAAATGATCGGCGAAATTTCCGACAAAAAAAAAAAGTGAAAAAAAAAATGACCGGCGACTGACGAACGGTCGCCGACGGTCACTTTTTTGCCAGAAATTTCGCCGGTCACTTTTTTTTTTTTTTTTGCCGAAAATTTCGCCGGAAGGTGGCCTGAACCTTAATGACCTGTGATAGCAGGTCATTAACTTGTTTTTGGACTTCATTACACCTAAATGAATTGTTGATGGGTGTAATTGCACCATTAAAAAATTTAGGGGCCTAATTGACTTTTAAGTTAAAGTTCAAGGGCCTATTTGGCCCTTTTCCCTTTTTTTAATAAAATTTTAATTCAATTCCTTATCAATTATGTACACGAATCAAACGGGCCGGGTCATTACATACATGAAATTTTTACTCCATAAATTTTATTTTTATTATCATTGGTGCTTGACTATTGTTTTTAGTCACTTTTGATCTCTGATCTCCATCTATTAATCTAGTGAAAATTGGTCAAATTCATACATTTTAAAATAATTAAAGGATATTTTTTGTCAATTTAGAACCGTACGTAAACAAATTTCTAGTTGAAAAACGTAAAAAAATTATTATTTTACCTCCTGGCTAGAGATTTAGAAAAAAAAAAAAATTTATTAGTACAAACCCAAGAACATATGACTCCCTATTTGAAAAAATCATAGTTATGTCACTTGACTACAAGGTATTTTTTTACCTATGACCTTTAATTATTCTTAGATACTAATGTTTTGACAAATTTTGATGAATTTCTGATGATCATATTAAGTAGTTGGAAAAAGCAAAAGTGAAAAAATATTATACTAATACACAAACAAAAAATGAAGTGGAAAAGTGGAAACTTTTTTAAAAATAATAAAGTTAATCCTTATAGTAAAAATTTTGTCTAGGCGCCGCATTGTAATTTATGGATTATCAAATAATAAACCTAGACAATTGACTAACTATAATGTAGTATGAATCAGAAATCAACATTTATTACTAATATATCCATGACAAATGAATTATTAAGTACGTAAGTTTTACTCAATTAAATTCTAAAAGAATAATTAAATAAACTCTCAAACTATTTAGAAACGCAATTAAACTTGTATCATATTAAAACTAATCCTCATTTACATTGAGAGTGCTGATCATATTAATTTTTTCATATGAGGGGTTTGAACTCCCAACCTCTCTAAAGACATAAGAGTAAACTACCTAGAGATCTTCATCCCCATCAATAGATATCAATAGATATAGACATATGGTACTACAAGACAAAGAGAAGGATCTACATGAATACCTTCGTCCTCATTTATGGTTGCTATGGTAGCCATTTGGCTGGCCATGGCAATATTTTTTTTTAATTATTATTAAATCATATACATGCCAAAAAATAAAAAAATAAAAAGCTAAATACACACATCAATATATATATATATATATATATATATATATATATATATATATATATATATATATGCTTCGGATCCCATGAGGTCACTTAGATGTGTGAGATAATGGGGCCTTATCTCATCCATTAAATCATAACATATCAAAGGGTGAGATTGAAAGAGATTTATTTTTCATCTATGGTAGTAGTCTATGCATAAGGGTGTATAAGTAATTGTAATATTAGAACTATATATGGTTAGGAATAGATTGGAATATATTCCATGCTAAGGATAAACTAATTATGGTGTTGAATAATATATTTACGATTATAAATTATTGTTGATAGAGTGTGAGTTGTATTTAAACATTTGTACTCAACAATAGTGTTTTGCAGTGGGATATCTCCTCAACAATGAAGGTGCAACCGAAAGAGGTTTGAGCAACCTTAATAGAAGTGTGTTATGGGTTATGTTCTGTCTGTGCAGCCATTTAGTTAAGTCGGTGCGTTGAGTTAAGAACCCAACGCACAAGCCCAAAAACTAAACCGAACAAACGTCAGACCTACTAGAATCCAGTGTAAATTTTAAACCAAAAAAAAAAAAAAAACACGCCTTGTAAACCCCAATCGCACAGACCATAACAACAAAAAACACCAAATAAATATATAAAATAACAACACACCAACAATTAATAGATCATAATATGTTACAATTAAAATACACATACCGAAATTGCTTTACGTAAAAAAAACAAAAACCAAGCTATAAAAATATGGTAAAAGTTTGCCTCAATTCTAGTTGACAGTCCAAATAAGAGATATTTGGCCTGAAAACTTGTCAACCTATTTGTGACCCAACGCACAAGCCGAACATATAAAATGCACACAGAAAAACTTCATAACACAACGCAAACTTCTGTTCATTAATTTTTAAATTGAATAACGGAATCAACATGCAACAAAAACCACAACCATACCGCTGATTGATCATACCCGTCATAACAAAGAATTTAAGCCAAACGCACACACGGGAAAACAAATTGCACACACAGCATAACAAAGAATTGAAGCCAAATGCACACACGGGAAAACAAATTGCACACACCCGATACAATACCATAATTAAGTAGTGCACAAGCCCATAAAATCTGCTAATTAATTATTACACCCTAATTAAGACACTACCAAAAAGACAACAACACCCCCACATGCAAATAAATCACACGCACAAGGCATTATATTCAGCCAAATCAAATCCATCCAAAAACCCAAATAAACGCACCAGATCAAGCCTCACCACCTCGCCTGACAAAGGTAACCTCACCGGATCCAATATATATATATATATATATATATATATATATATATATATATATATATATATATATATAGACATGTTAACCATTAACTCAATGCTAATAACCTACTATACTTGGTAATTTTTAATGAAAAATAGTAATTACACTTTTTCAAGATCAAATGTTTTTATTTTATTTTATTTTTTATAATTAGGGATTTAATTAAATGGTTTGTTGAGCTCTTTCTCATAACATGTTTGAAAGATGGTTCATTTTCCACCATTCTAAGGTTAAATTGATTGGTACCCAACTTGCTCGGGTATATATGGAGGTAATTTACTTCTTCTTTTTTGAAGGGGGCTGACAAGGTGATGAGAACTGATGAGAACTGACAATGGAAATACCCGGAATCTGTATCTCACGCAGTAATGACATAATCCATAGAACTTCAGCACAAACATCTGCAAGAGCTTTGTATTCAGCCTCAGTGGATGACCTAGCAACAGTTCTCTGCTTCTTGCAAACCCAGGATATAAGATTACTCTCCAAGAAAACAGCAAAACCACTCGTGGATTTTCGATCCTCAGGACAACCAGCCCAATTAGAATCAGAGAAGGCATGAATGTCTCTAGATGAGCATCGTCGTATGCGCAAACCATGATCAACTGTTCCCTTAACATACCTGAGTACCTGTTTGAGCTGCTCCCAGTGTGACATGGTGGGAGCATGCATATGTTGGCATAACTGATTAACTGCAAAGGATAGGTCAGGTCGTGTGACAGTGAGATATTGCAGTGTTCCAGCTAGACTCCTATACTGTGTGGGATCATCATATAGATCTGAATTGAAGGGGACAGTTTTCGAGATAGAGATAGGTGTAGAAAGGGGTTTGCATTTAGACATTCCAGTCCGTTTTAAAATATC